GATTAAGTGATTTTAATTGATTAAAAAATTATTTTGATTAAGTAAATAAGGGCCAACATGACAACTTTAGATTTTAAGTGATTTAAACAAATTAAATCGTCATATTAATCTTGTAAACTGTTATTCATTTCTTTTCTAGCAAATCTAAGAGCATTTTAATAAATTAAAGCACATTTCAATTTACTAAAACATAACTACAACCACAAGAGGCTCTATAACACATTCAAAGGCTTTTCAACTTAGCACAAGATCAAATCGTTAAGGAAAAAACTTATAACATGATTAAAACAAAAAATCGCAACTCAAACCAAAAATTAAGTACAAGATCATCATATTTAACACTTACATCATCATCAACTTGAGATACTGTGGTTGGGAGCATCAAATATCAAATCTTCAAATTTGTAATCATCAAATCTTTAAATTCCAAGATTCTATATCTTTAAATGTTAGTCACTAAGAAAGAACACACCGTCCAAAAATAATACGTTAACCAATTATAACACGTACAACTCTAATTTATATTAACATTACTAAGATTTATTTTATTGTAAAAGTTAATATATATATATTACTTGTTTTTTTCTCTCTTTAACATTAAATTTCATTGTGCATATTGCACCATTTTTCTTAAAAAAGGAGTAGATTTTAGTTGACAAGAAAATAAGTTAACTAATTCTCTAATAATTTAAACGTACATGTAAATTTTTTTTTATTTTTTATTTTTAAATCGTAAGCTACTAATAACTATTTGTCTCTCTTAACTAAATAGTCCAAAGCTTAAATTTTTACATATGAAATAAAGCAAATTGAGAATATAATGTTCGTATTGTATATACTATAACTTACTTATTGTTTTTAATAATAAAAAATTCTTTAAATATTATGATTCGAAAAAAATAGACAGGTTTGGTAAACTCATATATTTAAAAAGAATACACGAAATTATAAATTCAAACTTATGTGCCGATGGTGTACGATATTATTAGGATATATAGACACTTTGGTTACTATTTTCTATGATAAATATTTTGTTTAATACAATCAAGCATACACGTTTAGTAAACGTATGAAAAATTATATTTATATATATATATATATATATATATATATATATATAATTACAATTTAAAACCAAATAATTAGTAAATGTTATATCAGCTAAATCTCAGCCAAAAAAAAAAACAACTAATCATATTTAATTAATATCTTCTTTTTACAAACAAGACTCAAATTTATTCAAAATAAATATAGTTTCATACCAACTAATAACGGTTGTTTAACTGTGGAGAGATCGTAGGTTAAAGGAAATAAAAAAGCCCTCCAATGATGGCTAATTTGTTTTACTCAGGTAATTAACGATCCTAATTAATTAGCATCCTTATGATTAAAAAAAAAATTAACATACTCACTAGTTACCACTCAATCAGCAGATTGTCCTGTGGTTTCACCTCTTCAATTAATCAAACATTTACCCACTTTAGGGGAATCTTTTGAGTTCCCTATCGCAAGGGCATATCATTTGTTTTTGACAAATGGAAGGGCACATATGATGCCACACGAAACCCTATCATAAAATATTTATCATTCTTTAATTAAAAGAAAGAAAAAAAATTCCTCCATGGTTGCTTGATTAAGACTGTGATCAGAAAGCAACAATATTTCCACTTTTAGCAAGCAAATAATTTTTAAGAAAAGAAAATAAAAGCTTTTGCTTTTAAGTTCTGATCTATGCGGCTGGGATTATCTTTAACTAATGATTGCATCACGAAGTATGCAATGAAGCTATTCGTCCATGGCTTTAGATTTCATTTGTGAGATTAAGTATTAATAATGTAGCTTTCAAGAAAAATGAATTAGATAATATGATAAAATGTGGCAATTAATAAGAACTATACACATATGGCAATCAGGTGATGGATGATGTATATATGTAGGTAGGTGGGGGAACTCTGCCATTGCCATCAGCTAATGTAAATATAGAGGTCACCATCATGTTGTCACTTCTCAGATATCAAATACTTCTTCTATCCAATGATATCCAAATTGGTAAAGCTACCTTATTATCTATTACTCTTCAATCAAAACAAAATCATAAGGGTATTTGCTTCAAAATAAAGCAGGAAGAGATTTTTAGAAAAAAAAATTACTAAAAATAACAAAGTTCAAAATTCAGTTTCTCAATATATACTATCTGACCTTAAAATATTGTATTATTTATATAAATATTTCACACTAAATCCAATATGAGTACCTTTTAGATGGAATAGATAATGTGTGTTAGATATGTAACTTAGGTTGTGATTGGTATAATAATGGATTGAAACTAAAACAATTAATATATATTTTATCTTAGACTATAACCTTATCTGTTAAATTCTTTTGAAATGAAAATGGCATGACAAAATATATTTAGAATAATTTTCAGTAAATTTGAGCTTGTAACAAAAAATGTTAGGGGTGTGATGTTAGCATGCATCTCTTATAAAATAACATAAAATAATTAAAATAAAGAATTCAGCATTCTATGTTATTAGAACCGATAATGTAGTTTTAAAGAATGTAAAAGTTAATATATGTATTTAAGTATAAGGATAATAGAAAAGTCAATACCTTTCGACAGTGTATGATGAATGTTGTTGGGAAGGAGATAAAATAGTTAAATGGTAAAAGAAATAATATGAATTTGATGTGGCATAGCATTATTACTGAGTGACTGTGGAAGAGTTATTGAGTGAAATGCATAGGAAATATTGGTCCCTCTAATATGTATAGGGAGTTTCTGGGTTCACTAGAGTGCCTGCAGATTATAGTGCCTTAAAACGGACAACAACACCTATTTCTTGGGTGTCATGTTCTCCTAAGTCTCGACCATCAACATAAAATATGTTTCATAGCAAACAATATTAAATATTTGCTATAAATACGTACAATGTCTTCACCATGCAAAATGATATGTAAAAATATTAATATTATTGATAATACTTCCTAAGACAGGTAATAAGGATTAGAGGTTAATTATATATTATTGTTGTAAAATTTTCTATGGCATATTATTATTATTATTACATTATTTTTAAATGGTTTAATATTCAGAAAAATGCACATACATTAATTGACATATTTTAGAGATTTTTCTAAACAAATTCATACCGAATGCTTACTTTGGTAATATTTTATTATCCAACAATATTAAGCTGATCATTGTTAAAGTTTAAGATGGATAAAGAGCCATTGATGCATAAAAGTTCAACTTACCCTGCCTAGAATGCTACATGACCGTACAAATTTAGGCTATTTCAAAAAAAAAAAATCAAAACAAAAACCGTAAATCAAAACCATGAGATTTTCTGTTATTATTCATGAATTAGTAACTAAGTTCTTTTATATATTTTTTCTAAAATTTGGAATGATAACCCATTAGTAAGTGATCCTATGATACAACTTTGCATATAAACTATGATGTTAAAATTTTGAAGTTTTAGCAAGCTTGTGAGTAAATTTATATGTAATATAAAAATATATAAATCTGATGATGTTAAAGATTACTCATTGATCTTGCTTAAAAATAAATTTGACAAAGTTCTAATCTAGGTATTCGATGTTATAATTGGTGTTTTTTTAATTTTTAGCTTTTCACTATTTAATAGCCCGTTATGAGTTAGCGTTTTTCTGAAAAATTATTTATAGAACAAAAAAATTTAAAAGATAAATAAGATTTGTTAGTTTTTGGTTGTTAAATTAATGTTATTAGAGCAATTCTGAATATATATATATATATATATATATATATATATAT